AATTGTTTCCTAGWGCTTTGTCTTCTTCCCTGCCAATTAGGATGTCAAGCCTTTACAGCCACACCAAATTGTATGACTTTTTTTTCACCCATTTCCTATTAGGCTTCCACATCACCCTTTCTTTCTAAATACTGATACCCTTGACTCTGCTGGCTCAATTCTTCTATCCCCAGACTCATTCTGGCTACTGTGTCCCACTATTTCCACCTATCTGAATTTCTGGTCCCCTCCATTCTCCTGCATATTCTGTGCTTCCTGAGGACCCCATCTGTGCATCACTTGCTCATGTGACTCCCCAGTTTGTCTACCTATCCAATGGATATCCTATGGATAAGCACAAATTTTTATATGATCCAAAATATCGACTTTTAGCTACAGAGATTTCATTTGGAGAGCATAAACTGGGGAGAGACGAGAATAAGCACTTTCATGCTAAGCTTGTGACAGCCCTTAGCAACGCCTGCTCCCTCCTCCCTTCCCTGCAACCCCCACCACTTTGCTGGGAGTGTCACTAGAGAACCAATCTGCAACCCTGTGCAAAATAAACAGAAATAAACACAAAACCAGATGGACATCTCCTAATCCCTGGTATCTGAAGATAGGATTTTACCCATGTTTTTAGAAGATTCCTCCTTTTAAAGACTTCCATCAACTCAAATCTGGTTTTCTCATAGAAGCTGTATCCCTGAGAGTTACACTCTCACTTCCTTTTCCCTGTTCATACTATGTAAGATATGGTTCAAAATGTCATTTTTTTTCAATTCAAAACAAATTCTCTGATTTCAACAAAGAGCCATTTACACCACTGATTTGCTTCTTTCAATTAAATAATCCTCAGGACATCAGACCTTAGGAAGAATGTTTTCAGAGGCAGCTGTTCTGCTAATTAGACAAAGCCTGAATGATGGCCATTCACTCAAGAGTCACCTCACAGAGAGACACACACACTATTCTACCCTGTGTGGGCAACATGAGGGTTTACTATACTTTCAGCATATTCTTAATGATCAAATTTAACATTTCCAAAAACCGGCAGAAAGCTCCAACCCACATTTTAACAGAACCCTGTACTGCTAAGCAGTGCCTCAGTCTTCTTACATAAAAGGATATGCTCAGTACATGTCTTGGGCATACAGTGACTAATAGCGACAGGTAGAAAAACTGCACTTTGCCTTATCTTGAGTAAGGTAATGGCTTGTGTTAGACTTGGCTCAGCCCACATGTGACTGTTCTGCATGCTCCAAATAACCTTCTAAACATCCACCAGATATCAACAGCTCAGAAGATCCCCTTAAACAGGGGGATGAGACCTGCATGCCGTCTGCATGAGACCCTTGCAGGGTTGATGGCAAAAGTCTTCTGGAGTAGGACAACAAGAGTTCAGAGAGGCTGGCTAGCAAAGTTAGGATGCTGGTGCATGCACTGAGTTTGTGTCATGTCAAGAGATAGTCTTAAACAGATTCATCTTCCCCTACTGCCACACATGCCAATGTCAGTACARTCTAAAAATACAACTGAAATACAGGCGGAAGCCTATGCAGGGAGCCTTTAGGTCCCTACATAAGGAAATGTTACTAAAAACACCCTCTGAATTGTTTTTCACAACAAAACATAAGCAAATGTGGGAAGCAAACTGCAATTTAGCTCTTCATGTTGTCTGGTACACTGAAGTATTTTGTCTACTTTGGGCTTTGTCCCAAGCAAACATTCAACTACTTTTCTTTTAAACACATCTGGAGGTCAATAAATATTGTCCTTTCCCTAATACTAGTCTCACACAAACAGGCTAATATGCATCCACAAAACAAGGAGTAAAGTAATTTCTGTGGTTACATGAATTGTCTGGTTTCAATTTCAAGTCCTACCACAGATTTCCTATTCGATCCTGTGTACAAGGGTTAACCTCTCTGTACATCTCCATCTGCCAAAGAGGGAAAATAACAGCTGCCTCCTTTCTGGTAGTTTATGAGGCTCTGAGGGCACGTCTCTACCACAGGTGCAGGCACACCCAAGCTGTCTCCGTATGAGGAGCACTAATTGTATTCCTCATTTTTCTAGGGATTCAAATTAGAATGCCCAGTATTCATTTTACCAAAGTGCTGAGTGCTCAGAACTGGAAGTGAAGTTAAAGGGAACTCTGTTTGGAACAATAAAATGGATATAAGGAAACTGTATAATAGCAAGTACGCCAAAAAATAAGGGCAAAGGCATCTCCAGTGAATGCCCACAATGAATGAGCATTTCTGTAATGAAACCCATCCCTCAGGTCCTTCCTTATTAAACAAAAGCAGCTTTATACCTTTTGGGATGTTGTAAAGACATCATTCATTCATACTGTAAGGCACTTAATTGCTTGAATGCTAACTATAGCTTTAAAACAAAAAAAAATTGTATCTGCAATGCACAGCTTAAATGATCTGCAGTAAATAAGGCATGGGTTGGAGCATGAGGACAGAGAATATTGAGTGTTATCTTTCTTTCTATACACTTACTGAGGAATAGACCCATGGACCAACACTGTGTAATAATTTCATACAAATCAGAACTTAAATAAGGTTGTGTAGACAAATTGCTTTATTTTCCACTGTTTTGGTGTCTGATTTTGTAATGGTATCACTCCTTCACTACAGCTTTTTCATAAAATTTCTTTTACATCAGGACCTGTAGGTAGAAAACAGAAATATTATTCCAAGTTTTACACAAATCAAGAGCAGTGGTTTTAAACTTAATGGAATTAATGTAAATGAAAAGTCAAATCTTTTGGTTCCTGAGCAAGCCAAATTTAACCTTTAGGATTCAATGTGCTAAAGTTAGGCAGCAAAATAAGGTGTTATCTACAGACTGCTCACTTTTTTAAAGCAATTTTTAATGTCTAATGAAACTAGAAAGTATTAGCCGCTTTAGAGAGTATCGATACTGAACATTCTTCTCTGTAACTCATTAAGAATAGCAGAAATCTTCTAAGTCCCTACTATGAAACTTTCACTTTCACCACTACCCTTCCCCCACATAATTACATGGTTTTAAATGTGGGGGCAATTCACACCTTTTATTTTTTCCCCCAGAAATCAAATAACACAAGGTATTTGTTGAATATTCTGAAAAGACTGAGTGATATCATAAGGGTTCTACAGAAGAAAGTAATCAGTATAACAGAGGGGATAATAAGGAATCTGATTAGAATAAAGATACTGCTGTGATGCAGCCCATTGGGGACTTAATGTTTGAAAAGATAAAAAGATGAATGAAGAGGAAGAACAAAGAGCAAGGGATAACACTTCCTTGCAAGAGAAAGAAGGAAAAMACAGAAAAATGTATGACCTTATAATATCTAATTCTCCTAGCAAGTATATACTAAATGGTTGGGTTGGTGACTCGTATGTGGTCATGTTAGAACACGGTTTGAATAAAATAAGGAACTGTGCTGTGTTTCTGTTTTAACGCATGCCAAGTCAAGCAATTTACAAAAATGCTTCTCTCCTCATATCTGCAATGGCATTTTGCAGGAGCCTTGCCACATGCCACACAGTGATGGTTGGTTGACTCTTTGCACCCCTCCATCTGAGAGGTTGCAAAATTAATGCAGTCTTTTATAAGCCCCTTTAGGAGCATCTCAGCATTAAACTCAGTTTTTCTTTCTACCCTGTCATTTCAGTCATCATAGCACTGAGGCAGTGTTCTGCACAGGGGACTTCCAAGAGATGAAYGGCTAAGGAAGAAAAAACAAAGGTGTTCATTAAAGACAAAAAAAACCAAAACAACAACTACAAAAAAAACATGTAACTGTATACCATACAGTTACAATATAAGGTGATGTTATACAAGTCTTACACATACAGACTTTAACTAAGCACTGCATGATCACGAGTCATTCTTGTTTCATCTGCAGYTGGAGACATCTGTGAATATTCCTACACAATTTGTCGCACTAGGACCTCTCAGGACATAACTCAACTTCTGACATTGACCTTACAAAGCTGAGCTATGTTGTTCTCAAATCTTCAAGACACAGGAGAACTGTTGAAAGTTACATGGTGAAAGCAAGGCTTTCAAATATCTATTTTGAGTACCATTTCAAATATCTATTTCAAAAGCATTACTATAAGATAATGTGTCACACAGGACTCCGTGAACAAACACATGAATAATTTGCTCTTCTGCCYCCAGCTGGATTTGACATTGCTCTAGTACTTCTAATATTCCTAAAGCTAGAGACTAGTGCAGGAAAATATAGGCTAGCTGCAGTCTTGGTGGTGGAATACAGCCACCCCCAGTGGTGCTGAGAAGAGACTACTTGATGAACAGATGACAGAGCAACTGGTTCCTCTTCACCCAACTTGTATCCCAGCACAAAGACAAGTAGCATTTAAATCAAAGTATGCTAGCTTTTAAAGATATGCCACAGAGTGAACAGAAGATAACTATGGATGGATGGACTTCATGTGTGAATGTTGCTTCATAGAGAATAATACACCTTTCCAGACGTTATGTCAATCAAGAGAGTGGCACAGAGCGACCTTGGGATATCTAGGACCCAAATGCTTCCTATTTCCATGTAGGCACCAGAAAAATTATGTCTCCTTTAGCAAAGTCTCTGCAGTGTTCATCAGACTGTGGGTATCAGGGCTTCTTCTCCCTTACTGCATCACTACAGACAATGCATTCTGGCTTTGCTGCCTGCTAACCAACTTTCGCTGAAGTAGCTGCAGCTGCCTTTCTTGGGAGCTTTAAATGCTGGCACTTCTTGGTAGTAACAGCAGCACAGTCTTGAATTTCCACGACCAACTGTGTTTTCATGTCCCATTCAAAGGGAATCCTGAGCCCTTCAAATGACTTTGGGAGGGGAGCAGGGGGGAAGGAGTGAACTACACCTTGACCTCACAAAACAGGACTCTGCTTTGTTTCCAAAATGAGAATCAACCATTCAGTACAAGACAGCGAACTTGTGCACCGAGAACCCAGTTGAGTTTCTGGAGAGCAAGACGAGGAGCGCCAGCGCCATGCCTGTGCCCGGCAGGAGCACCACCAGCCAGGAGGAGAAGGGACAAGTGCCGCGTTCTTGTGAGGGAAGCGTTGTACAGTCGCGAGCGCTCACCGCACCATACCGCCCCATCACTTTAATTAGCAAGCGGCTGCAGCAGGATGACGGGCTCGGTTCCGGTCCCCGCAACATCCCCGGGGCTCCCTCCCGGCCGGCACCGCCGCTCTCACCCCGGCAATAAGTGCTGGTTCGCCGGCCCCTTGTCTCTGCCGGGAGAGGGCGGGCGCCCCATCCTTCCTCGCTGTTGGGGCCGGGGCCGAGGACGAGCCCCCAGGCAGAGGCAGGGACAGGGCAGGCGGGAGCCGCCCCCGCGCGGGGCGGAGGGGGCGCTGGGCACTGGCCCCACTCCCCGCGTATCCACCCGAGAGGTGGCCCTGCACCGCCTGGAGCCGCAGCCTCTTCCCTTCTCTACCGCCCTCCCTCTCTCCCTCCCCCGTCCCCACCTCTCCTCCAAAACCGCAGGAGCCGCTGCGGCAGCGCTTCACTCTCTCCGGTGCCAGCAGCAGAGCGGGGTGCGTGGAGCTGGCCGCAGGCACGGGCCGGAGCGGGAGCAGCCCCGCAGGGTCCCCGCCGCCCCCCTGCCATGGCCGGTGTCGCGGCCCAGCGCTGACGATGCTGCTGGGCGCCCCGCGGCCGGGCGGCTGGGATCGCGGCCGGGTGGGCGAGAGGCTGCAGGCGGCCCTCGCCGGCCTCCAGGAGCTCCAGGTGCTGCGGGAGAAACAACGGGAGCTGGTGCGGGCCGCCCTGGCCATGCCGCAGCGGCCAGCGGCGGGCGGAGAACAGCAGCCCCTGTCCGCCCACAGCAAGGAGCACCGTCTGGAGGCCACCCTCTCCGCCCTGAAGGAGCAGCTGGTAAGGGACGGCACGGGACATCCCGCTGCCCCGTTTCCCGGCTCCGTGAGCCCAGCCGCGGTGCCGAGCGCGGGCAAAGGGAAGCGCTCCGGGTTGCCAGACACTCGGCTGCCCCTCGGGAGCCGCCGGCGCCGCGCCGGGACCGAGGGCAGTCAGGGCGCTGCAGCCGTGGCCCCTGCGCTGTTCCCGCCCCGCCGGGCGCGGTTCTCCGTGGGCCGGGGRCGAGCGGCCGGGTCGGGAGAGTCCTGCCACAGGCGCTGTAGCGGGTGGGCACTGCCGCGCTCAGGCAGGGCTCACCTGGACGGCCCGGAGCGGGCAGTGCTGCTGGCGGGCGCTATGCCAGGGGCAACGCTGGCCAGAAGTTGTTAGTCCGGCATCGCTCATTCATCGGAGCCGAGGAGTAGGCGATTATTAACTTCAGTTACGCAGCGCTTAGCTCCCAATGGCAGCCGCCGTTTGCATAGCAGATCAAGAGACACGCGGAATGAGATACACCTGCATAAGCGCTTGGGGCTCTGGGTGGGCGTGTACGCGCACACCTCTGCGCCTTCACCTGTGCCCGCGCAGCGATCTGTGCCCGCTCGGCTATACGCCCGTGGGAGTCAATCTGACAGCAAAGGTTCGTGGGAGGGGAGTACTTTGTTCTTTCCACGGGTTGTGTGATCAAAAGGCAGGAAAACTGAATGCTAGGCCTTGTACTTGAAGCACTACTCCGGCGACTCACACAGGGTTTTTTTGAAACAAAAAAAAAAAAATCTGAATTGTAGCTGAAACGAGTTTGATAGGTGAGCAACAATCAAAGGGTAAAGGGCCTTAATCTTTAGTATAGGCAATTACACAGTTCAGTAAACTCAGACTTAATTCACAATCCTTTCCCCTGCCATACTGGTGCAGGTCTTGGCCATCAGTTACCAATTGGGTGTGAAAACAGTACGGTTATTCACTCCCCATAGGCAGCTTTATCAGGCAGCATCTCAGGATAAAATGGTCTTTAACCTTCATGAGAACCTAGCCACCACTGTGTGAAAACACAGCAACAGGCATAGCTTGATTAAATTAAGAAAATACAAGACAAGTGGACAACCAGCCACTTGATTACCTGTCACTGATAATCTTAAGTAATGGCTCTTTTTTTTTCTTTAATTAAACAAAAGAATTGGAGGCATTTATTGCCTGTTTTAGGAAGGTGTAACAAAATCACACAATGAGCTCTGATCATAGTGACTGTACTTTTTTCCATGTCATCTGTTGTGCTTTAGTCACTTGTCTTAATATTTTTCAAATAAAATAGTAAAATAGAAGATTCGCTTGTCAGGACTTTACTTGCTCCTTACAAGGCTTTCCAATAACGTGGGAGAAACTAGCCATTAAAATAAAAGGAAAAAAAAAAAAACCTTTGATTGCTACCCTTCAGAAATTCAGGAGCTGAGTGAACTCAAGATTAACTTTGCACACCTCCAGAGAGGGACRGATTTCACCAGTAGGTGCCAGTGCAATTATGGGCAACGTGTCTCTTGGTTTGGTGGGAGRGAACTGTTCATAAAGCTAGAGAGGGATGACTCAGAACTACAAAAATCCAGGGGCAAGTTCTTCAGCAAAAATATAGTTGTGTGAATATTTAAAGTAGTGATACAAAGCTCTTCTATTGGACCCCTGGCTGCTGGAGGCTTTTTAGACTGTACTGTTCAGGTCTCCTGGGTAGTTTTATTGCTTCTTTCCCCCTGCAAATTGCAGATGTGTATTTGAGTAGAGGTGCATACCTCAGAGCTCCATAATAGCAAAGTAAACCCAGTTGAAAAGACTTTTCACAGTCCTGTTAGAAGTAGTACACAGATTTAGGGTCTCGGTTTCCACAGGCTGCAGTCTTTCACAGAGACTCATGAGCAGTGTATTGTACTCAAAACCCATGAAAATTCTGTTCGTGATCACAGGAAATTAAGTTAGAACTGAAAACAACAGAAAATGCAAAGCACAGCATTGCTCAAGGAGTGATACATCTTCATCACTATTGTTGTTGGCCCATGGATGGTAAGGTATGTGATTGCTGCTCTTAAAGCTTTCAGATTGAGAAACTCATTAACAATGTAAATGTAATTTTGCCTTGCAATGCCCCTTGATCCAAATTTAAAGGAGGACTGTCGCCCTGAGCTTTAGCATGGTCACAGTTTAATAAAAACTCATAAAAAGCTTGGTCCTCACAAGATAAGATGAGGAAGATGTGTCAGCTGAAGGTGGCTTAAGGCATTTTAGCAATGGAAACAAGGCAGATAAAAAGCCAAGCCATGCTTCTCCCTATAATGGTAGGGTGAGAAACAGAAAAGCAAAAAAGAGGCAGAATCCTTAAGGACTCAGGTCCTACTAGCGGGAATGATAGAGCAGAGCCATGGGCACCATGTGTAGATGCCATCTCAGTCTCTTCCCATTTCTCAATCTCTTCCCCAGCAACATTTACCAGAGGCAGCCATCAGCTGGCCTTTCTACCACTCTGCTGTAGGCAATCTGCTGCTGCCCCTAACAGTCATGCCCTTTTTTGCCCTAACCAGTGGCTTCTCTTGGTGGCCAGGGTCTTATCTGGCAGCTACAAATTACTGTGGCACAGGCAGGGTCAGCTCTGTAGCAGAAGAGGAGCAGTTTAGTGATGCCACCCACTATCAGAGATCCCCAGGGTGCTGATCTTCTCTTAGCCAAACTGTGTCATAGCGACATAGAGGAAAAAAGAAGAGATGCAAATTCAGGCTAATGTAAAGGAAGAAATCTATGACTGCTGTCAGTGTAGGTGGATATCAAAGGCTGCAAAATCYAGTATTTTCTCAGCTCTTTCCTCAGAGGACATATTTATAAGCCTTATTTTATTTTATTTTAATCCAATGATTTTGTTTTGCAAGCTTTCAGGTGGTTTATGATGTTATAAAAATGTGAGAAGAGACACATTACACTGAAGAGAAAAAAACAAACACTTGGTACCCAGCATTTTACACAGGGCTTTTTTTCTCCCTTTAGATATTTTAAATAGAAGAAAACATCCTTAAACCAGGGATTTAATATTTTTAAAAATAAACTTAAGTTTTGTTGCCTGAGAGAAAGATCTTCCAGAAGGAATTCACCTTGCTCTATTACAAGTGTCTGCAATAGGTGATAATAATTTTCCTCTGAAACTGACTGCTTTGTAACAAAAGTGCTCAGTTACAAAAAGACCCAAGGGTGACTAACTTTTAGATGGGCAAAACTAGATAATAATGCTATTTAGTGTGCATTCCAGAATGAAGTCAGATTAATAGAATTACCAGACGCTCATCTACAACCAAGAAATGTCAACATCTCCTGCCTTTAGCTGAAGAGATTAATAGTTGAGAAGAATAGTCAAGTATGACCAGTGGGTTTTAGTGCCTGGATTTGGGATGCCAGCTTGTGTTGGTGCAAAGGAACCTGCTTTTCAGAGAGTCTTCTTCCTTCTGAGAAATGGGCATTATGAGGAAATCCCAGATTTGTCTCCCCAAAACTATAGTCCAATAATAGTCAGCTGATTTGGAAAGTTTGGTCTCACACTGTGTAGTGTACAGAAGTCKTCACAGCTGCATTGCCCAAAGCAAACAGATGGTTTTACCTGCAAGGTTTTGTTACATGTAAAATTCATGTTGTGAATTGAGAAAGAGAGTGTTTAGGGTTTATTGTTTCGAGTGCTGCTTAGCGTGGCTATTAGAGCAATAACAGCCTGAAACAAACACACCGGAAAAGTCATTCTTATCCAAATGGTTTGAGGAATGCTTCTCTTAGAGTGCAGAAGTAGTTAACCGAAAGATCAAAGCAGCTGTGGTGGCTGCTGGAAACGCAAAAACCCGGTGGTGCAAAGCACCATAAAAGGGTTAAAAATGGTGATGTAAATCATGTGTGTTGGTTAAAATGCTGTGAAAGCGCAGACAGAACCTGGAGATATAATAAATAATGTTTGAATACCTGGAAGCCTTGTGGCCTCTCTCTCATTAATCAGAAACCACAGACTGAGGGATTGGCTGGCAAAACATTAATCATTAAGCAATTAATTCCAGCCATGGAAACAAAACTTTGTGATTTCCTGAGTAGGAGGGATTGAAGAAGGCACGGCATGGTTTTGCTTTTTTACCAGGAAATAAAAAAGTATGGGAGAGGTCATACATTCATCATTCAGATGGACTAGAAAATCTCCTTTATTATCCAGTTCTTCCCTTCTTTTTTGTTTATATGAAACAGGAAGAGGGAAAATCACTATGGATTTTCCTAGGAAGCAGTAATGAGTCTCTTGAGTATAAACCTTTCTAGATGTGTGACTCTAACAAAGACGGGATTTGTTTCTTGTTCTTATATATGCCTCCAGTTCTCTTTAAAAGCATGCTAAAAATACCTTTTTTTTTCTTTCTTTCTTTTTTTTTTTTTTTTTTTTTTCTCAGCAGCATCAGTAGCCCTAAGAGTTCTCTTGCGAAATTCAGGACATCTGTATTTTTTGTCTTGCTTGCATCACAATTTCTAATAATTTACTGATTATCTTAGGATCTTAGCTTTCTTTTCTTTTAGTATTTATAGCTATGGAGAAACTAAAAATGCAAATGTTAAAAGCTGAGTAGTTCATGCAAAAGGAAAGCRGAGGCAAGAAAGTGTACATACTGATCTTGACTTAATTTTTAAGATACTTTAATTGGTTCAAGGGACTTAGGTTTTGGGGTTTTTTATATTTGAGATTAGAAATKCTGCTAGAACTGTCACTTGTGTTTTTAATTATGAAATGTACTCATAAAAAAATCTTCATAATGTTTTTCTCACCATTACTGAGTGGAAAGCCCATCCCCTTGAGGGCTTTGAGCACAACTTTAAAACCAGCTTCAAGAGACCACCTTTCTGTAAAATACTGTAGGATGAATGGTGAGGTGTGATATAATTAGAAGCTGCTTAAATAGTGACTGGGCTTTAGATAATTTGCCACGTGAGAAGTTTGTGACAGAAACTAACTGTGGCTCTTTGGCTGGTACCTAATGCCTGGCCATCTGCCTCGCCAAGCTGACCGCATAAGTACTGCAGGAGCTGTTACCTCAGATCAGCCTGGTCAGACTGCAGGCAACAGATCTAGTTGCTGGCTTCTGAAGGATTATTCACAAGCTTGATTATTTTAAATACAGAGATTTTCCCACCATATTCAAATGCCACCTTCTCCTTGCATCAAATGCATGGCAATAACTGGCCACAGGACAAGCAAAGAAATCTTGCAGCAAAGCAGATGTCACAATTCCTGCAGTGTATCCTTTCAGCTACAGAGACATGTCATCAAAGCCAAGGGTTTTATGGCAGTGGGTATGCTGCCTGCACTTTGTGTGGCAATAAGATACCTCAGCCACAGCAGTTTCCTTTCATCTGGCAGATCTTAGAGTTCATGCAGACAATCCATAATGTTTATCTCCTCCTCTGCTCAGAGGCAGTGTATGGCACAGTGCAGTGCAATAAGAATATTTTAATTAGTTGAAAGACTAAAGAGATACAGTTCCTGCCATAGGTGTATCAAGAAAGCTAAAAATAAGTATCTTCAGAGTGAGTTTTAGGAACATGTTTAGCTGGGCAGAGGACAATAAATACAAAGAAACAAAATGTTTTGTCCTTGTCCATTTGGTCAGTCTCCTTACAGGGGCCCAACTGCAACAGTCCCTAGCTAAAGAAAACACTTGATAAGAGTAGAATCTGGCTTGCACAGGTGGTCTGAATTCATGCATTGCTATTGAGATTCTAACTGTGATYATTCTTCATTTCCTCCTTCTTCCCTTGATTTAGTCTCGTTTGAGGAGACAGGATGTCGGCTTGAAAAGCCACCTGGATCAGCTAGACCAGAGAATAAGTGAGTTGAAATTGGACGTCAGTAAGACCTCCAGTGAGTACTTGGATAGTGACAGCCGGCCCAGCTCAGGTAATGTGCACTTGGCTCTTTATTACCAGGGTTATGGTGCCAGGAGAGCTGAACAGTGCCAACTGCTAGGCAAAACTCTGTGTATTCTTTGGTCAGAAACAGTGTCCCGTGACTGAGGTGGGTAATAGTGATCTGGCACAGAGTGGGCTCACGGARCTGCTAGGAATTCTCCTGCAAAGCTTATTTAGTTGGAAAGTGCTACTCACTCAAGCAGTATTCTTTCTGGATTTTAATTTTTTTTTTAAATGAACCTTATAGCAACACATGGAAGGAGAAGAAGACAAATTTACTTATTAATGATCTTGTGCAATGGAGAAAGATCATTGGCAAAATGGCTGGAGTACTTAAAAGAAGTGTAGGAGGCCAACATCAATATCAGCGCTCTGCTTGAATCCAGGAAGGGTTCTGAACCTCACTAGGCCTTTGAAAAACACTATTGCAGTTCACCAGTCAAATGAATTCAAGTAGAAGCTAAACCGCATGATTAAAAGACACTGAGAAAACCTTCCCCAAACAGAATAAAGCTCTCATGGACAGAATGATAATGGGTATCAGGTTTCTGATCTGATTCACAGAGAGAGCAGACTTTTATAGCTAGGATGTCTGTTAAAACCGGTTTCTGTTATCTAGTCAGAGACAATGAAAGTTGTTCTTTTAAACAGAATTTTTGCAAAGCCTCAAGTCTTCAGTGAGATAAGGAAAGGTTGTTTTTTTTAATACAGCATATGGATTTGCAGCCTGGTACTTAGAGAGGATATAAAATGTGCAAATTTCTGTTGTGTTTTTAAACTCAGCAGTTGTGTGCTTAGGCACGTGCACATAGCTCTAAAGAAAATACTCCTTCTCTGTTATAGAGAGGAATAATAAAATTTCCTACCTTGAGCCTTTTTAAATGCTTCCATAATTAACTGGAAATGATCTCAAGATTTGGAGAGAGAAGATAGTCTCCATTCTCTGCCCTTAGCCATTGCAGCTGTCATGGACTGGGCAGCTCTGATCAGAGGCTGGTTTTACTCTACTTGCCCATCCAGGCTGTGCTTGTACGCACCTGGCATAAGTTACCACAGTGTGAGAGGTCCCTGTCTTACACCAGGTGCATCACAGTCCCCAAAGATGTTCTCCAGTGAGGAATTGGGCATGATGGTGCTGCACTTCATCCCATCCCACTCTCAGAGCGAAGCAGGTGTGTGTGTGCCAAGCTGGCTCAGGGCCTAAGTAAATAAGCAGAAGCCAAATAAAAGTTGGTTGAATTAGAGTATACCTCTGCTAATGTTACATAAATAAATGACCATAAATTTAGGCTTGTGGCACATAGCAAATGAAAATTCATTTTATTCTCTGCACTTGTCTTCTTCAGAGTATGTTTAGTTGCTGTAAATATGAAATCTCCTGTTTATTTTAACTCTGCAGGATTCTATGACCTGAGTGACGGTGGTTCTTGTTCACTCTCCAATTCTTGCACCTCAGTGTACAGTGAGTCCATCTCTTCCTCCCACACCAGTCTTTTGCCCAGCTCTCAACACCCTAAAGCAAGGCTCAGTGTGTTTGACTACCGCCCCAAGTCCGCAGATGAAACTACTGTGCACACCACCAGCTTCCAGCAGCAGGGAACCTATGTCAGCAATGGATGTTGGATTGCAGCTAGCAGAGATGTTTCTGGGACTTCTGCCAGGTCCAGACCAAGGCCAGTTTCCACAGGTAATTGATGGCAGAATTGGATACTTCATTCAAGAGAATGGCAGATTCCTGGGTATTACTTTAAGGATCTTGTTTAGCCATGTATATCAATATACAGTACTCATTTTCAATACACAAAGTGAGAATGGATCAAAACCACAGAGCCAAACCATTTACTGTCCAACTTTCACTTGTCCACATACTCCAGATACTTTTAAACAGTAAAAAACATGAGGATGAAGCAATAACAAATATGTGGATGAAATACTAACAAATATGAGAACCCGTGCATTTAGAAATTGAAAAATACTCCATTGTGTGAGATAAAATTGTCATGTATATTGAGATACTGTTTTTTAAATGACCTGCATGTGAAACCAGAAAAGTTTCAGTATTTGAAATACCTTGTGTGAAAGTGCAGGGTTGTATGAAAGATTTCAAGTAAACCCCAAATTCCCTATTTACACAAATTAATATGGACTCTAACTATTCTTCATAATTTGTTAASTACAGTTAAGGACAACAGATGCCAAAAGTTAATGGACTATCTAGAAGGCAGTCATGAGCCTAAAAATGGATCAGCCATGAATTTGCATCATACTTTTCAACAAAATGGGTATACTCTTGAAGCAACAAATCTTACAGAGTTGTCCACGTTGCAGGAAGTGAAGCAAGATTTTACTTCAGAAAATCATAATTTGGAGAGGGGAAGAAATGTCTCTCTTCCTCTCCATAAARGGAATTGCAAGTACAGACCAGTTGGGTTTTCTTTGAGTGACGAGCAGAAAGCTTGCTGAGACACTGCAAGCACAGCATGCTTTTGACTCCTTCCTGGTTTGTTTCCACAAGAAAGCACCATTACACACTGCCACTAATTTCCTGAAGAATTTTCATTGTGAAATTAAGTTGTTAAAGAAACATTCATGCTAGCCTTTTCTGTAGCAGGTCTCTGCATAGGTAGGACGCTGCAGTCAGCTCCAAATTTTGGAGTCTTTTAAAAGCTTTCTGTCACAGGACATAGATAGTCATCATGTGACTATTCACATAGTTTGTGAATGATGTGTTGAATGTGATGGTTCTTGTTAGCGTGAAGGAGCCAGGAAATTAGTTAGCTGAGGATTTGTTGGCACTGAAAGTCTGCATTGAAATAGAGAGAAATCCAAGCTAAGTGGTTCCAGTATTCTTGGTCCCAGAGGTAACACAGCCAATGTCATGTCTGGATGGAACAATCTTTCTTCACACAAGAACACAGCCTCTCCTCTTTGTGCACAGAAGATGCTTCTGGGAGGAGGGTGCTGCAGTCAAGAGTAAATTACAGCAACCTTGACAGTACTCCAGGATTGAAGAGGTCTGAATTGGCGTTCATACATGTCATCTTCAGAGACTGTACTTCCCCCTTACCTGAGTAGTTACCCCTGGATTTTTTTAATCGTGGAAATACAGATTCTTCAGTTCATACTTCTCTGACTTCCCTGCTAAGAAATAAAAATAATCCCTTGTTTTTGTCTAGTTGGGTTCCTGCTAGTCTGATATTTTAAAACATTTTTATATGTGCACAGATCTACTTTCATCAGAGTAGCACAGTTTAAATTGCCTCCAAAGGCAAAAGTTTTATTATTGGCATTAAAAGGCATTCTAATCTCTGCTATGCTTAGGTGAATAAAAGTTGTTAGTTGTTTAAAAGTTGTTTAAAGTAATTCAGTGACCTTGGAAGACTGAAATTATTTTCTTTATTCATGCTACTGATTTTAGTAAAAGCGATCACATCTCTCTGAAATAGCACTTGTGGCATGAACCAGGTTGAATGTAATTGTGATTTAATTAGGTTGTTTATTTTCACCCACCATATAGGTGACTTGGAAAGACTCATTCCAGCAGACGCTAGATTTCAGAAAGAAATGGATCCCACATCCATGTTGCCTCAATACCATAATGGAGACATGCACTTGCTCACTGTGGACCCCAAATTCCAGAACGACTTGGTCTCCAAGAACGGCATTGATGTGTATCCTTACCCAAGCCCCCTTCATGCAGTGGCTTTGCAAAGTCCCCTTTTCTCCCTTGTGGGAACATCCCCCGAATCAGATTTCCATGCTCCTCCCAGCAAACCTATGCCTGCTATGACAGGTCCCAGCTTGATTAAGACTAGGCCAACCACTGAGGCCAAGCCAGGGGGTTACATCAATAAATTACTGCAGCTGATGAGATCCAAAGAGAGTGGTCGGGCGGAGACTGGGGAGTGGCTCTCACCGAAGAGCCAGCCAGCTGCAATGCACCAGAGACTCATTATAACCCCCAGCGCCGGTGGAGTGAAAATCAACAGCAGCAGTAGCCAGCTGGAAAAACAGACGAGTTCTCTGGAAAGCGGCAAAGCTGAAGGAAAGATGTCAAGAGAGGTGCCAGAGGGAGAATGTGCCAAGCAGCAGGAGGCCATGAGCAGTATGAATGAAGAGCAGCCATGCACTCAGCCTGACACAGAGCCATCAGCTGTGAATAGTTGTTATCCTGCCAAGTCCGAAGCAAGGGGCTCTCCTCTGGCAGAAGCAGCAGAGAGCAGCGTGGAGCGCAGTTTGTCCTACTCACAGCTGTGTCAGGAGGACTCCAGCCCAGACACCTGGAGTGCTAAAGTTGTCCCACCCAAAAAACTGCCCATCAAATGTTGTGGCAAAGCCAAACTGGCTTATGCTGGGGGTCATGAACGAGTGGCACAAGCTGAGTTTGTTCATGCTCAGTTTGTCCCTGCAGAGTCTCACCAAGTCCGGGTAAAGTTTGCCAGCTCCAAAACAAAGGCAGTGAAGATAAAGAGGAGGAGCAGTGAAAAAGTGCTTCGTCCTGGGAAGCAAGCCTTCTGCATGGACAAGGCAAGAGGGTCTCACGGGGCCACCAAGCTGCCCGCTGAGTGGAATCAGCTCCAAAGACCACAAGGAATGAAGAGCCTCGCACCGAGACCTTCGTATCCTAGTGACATGGCCAGTAGATCGTGCTCGGAATCAAGTCTGTTCCCTGTGCAGGTCCGGCTCCCCATTGTGCTGTCCAGGCCGGAGCTCTACAGAGCCTCTGCCAACACGCTGTATTCCCTCGAAGCAGCCTGCATGGACCCAGCCAACAAGAAGAAGCAGCGCAAGTGGCAGTCYGCAGTGGAGATCTCTGCCAAGGCCCACCCGGCTGGCCTGGCTCACGACTTCGGCCCGGGAGCGCCGAGGCAGCCAGCGAGGAGAGCCGGCATCCCCACCGTCAGTGTGAGGGYGCACTCCAAGGCCCAGTGCCACGCAGATTACGCCAAAAGCGAGTCAGACCACTCCGAGTACTCCGCAGAGTGCGCTTCCCTCTTCCACTCCACCATCGCGGAGACCAGTGAAGGGGAGGTCAGCGATTTCACAGCCAACCGCTTTGGGGACAGCGAGTCCAGTGAAAGTGACTCAGATGGCAGCAGTAGCAACACCAGCCCTGCCCTTGACTGTGATGAACGGGACGAAGGTGAGCTGATTTGGCCTGAAGAYTCAGTCAGACAATCCGTGACTGTCCAGGCGTCTTCCAAGCCTCTTCCTCCTTTGCCCAAAATCTGTCGCATCAAAGCTTCGAGGGCACTGAAGAAGAAGATAAGGAGGTTCCAACCTGCCTCTCTGAAGGTCATGACCATGGTTTAAGGGAGAGCAAACATCTGTTTCTTACAGTGAGCCATCCTGCTGCCATTCATCTGCAAAATGAGAGGACTCATGTAGAGAAAAACTTTCTTAAAGGAACTGTGAATAACCCATGAGTCTACACAAGGGATCTTGTTCATGCTGGGACATAAATGTCACTGTATCTAATTCCCTCTTTTACCATTTATTTTGTAAATATGAATCTCTGTGTATATTATATGATGACTTTTTTAATTATCCTGAAGGGTCACCATGGTGAAAATGAAAACAACCTCTGCCATAAGATTTTACAGGCAGCTCCTTGGTGTTTTTTTTAACCATACGCACCCACAGAATCAGTCCAGACACAAAGACTTGCTAGGAGAAAAGTGTAYTTCCCTGTCATGAGGAATTCTTTGCAGTCTGAAGTCCGTATTAACCATCTAGCTGTTATTGTGATCATATGAAAAAGCTCTGTGTTCTACCTAGTTTTACTTTTATTCAGATCGACCATCCCATACCTTCTCCCAAACATTGGGAGGATGAGTCTTCTTCCATAAAAACATGTTTAATCAAGAAGGCAAGTGTATTCGTGAATGAGAACAAGACTTCAGTTTGCTTCCTTTTTTCAAAACAGTATAGGGTTGTTTGTTCAGCCCACTTCTTTACAATGTTCCATGTTACTGTTCATTTATTGAATGGATGAAAGAACATGAAGGCGATGTGCCACAGTGTGTGATTAGCTGGGACTGAGATTATAGCTTTGCCCCTGAACTTGCAAACTCAATAAATACTATTTAATGTAATTCTGAAAATTATGCTTGTCTGACTTTGATGTCTAAAGAAAATTAYTCTGGTCTCTAATGGTGAAATAGGTCTGTGTTTTTATGATCACTCTGCAGAGGGGTTCTTTTATATTTTCAGAGGACCACTAGCTTAGTCAGAACCAGGGTCTGCTCACCCTCTACCTCAGGAAAGCTGTTTCAGCATGTGCTTCTAAATGAAAGAATTTGAAAATGGTATTTCTATTGAGGACTGGGTAGTGTTTAACTGACTCACATGATGCAGTTTGTCACAAGACACTCGTAAATTAAAGCATATATATATGTGTACAGAATATGTTTTGAATTAATTTGAGGGCACCGATGTGAACCTTCTTATCCATGTCTAAACTGAAGAAGTTAATTTTTTGTGTTCAGACAAGCAGTCCTAATTMTTCTGTCTGAGCACAACAGTCTGGAAGTTGAGCGGAAGTTCACCCTGAATTTACAAAAGAGCAGGTATTATCCTCCCACCCTGTTTCAGTGCCCAGTCTGAATACTGAATTCCTGGCCTAGGAGATCTAGGCATTACCTCATTCAGCTGCCTSTACTGGGCCTGAAACAAAAGGCAAGTGCTTTGCAGAAACTGAGTAAAAGAGTGAGTGCTTGTTTACTCCTAGGATTCAGTGGCAAACAGAAACATTGAAAGACTAAATTTTTACCCAATGCCTTCTATTCTTTGCAAGCTTTGTTATGTTTTTTAACCACTCTATTTTCAATATTTTTTGGAAAAAGTGTGTAAAGTCATTTAATTCAAGTATTCTAACTAGCATGTAACATCATCCTTACAGTAACTAGGAAAATATTACATTTTAGTCAGCAGAATATGTTTAAACATTTTTTCATAGTTCCAAAAGTACTAGACGTAATCACCCCAGTAGGATTAATGGGAGAATTTCACAGGTCTGGCGGCGGTTTCTTGTTCAGCATGTCTAGCAATAAAACAAACAAAATAAGGATTTATGCTTTTTTACTTTCTACACCATGAAAGGATTCTTTTTTCCGTCTACACAAAAGGTTTCATTTGGGGGAGTGTGTCAAAAGTTACATATGATCCTTTAATCTATGGATTTTCTGTGTTGGGGTGGGTTTTATTGGTTAGCTAGGAATTTTGAGGGTGTTTTTTCTTGAAGGAGGAAATTGTTCTTAAGTGGAAAACTGCTCTGAGTAGGAGTGTTCTGAAACCTGGTAAAAACCGCCACCCAGTATCTCCCTGCCTTTTTATCAGGGTAAGCTCAAACAATAAGTTTGTGATCCCACAACTCAGTAAATCCCGCTTTAGGGCTGTTAATACTCCATCAGAAATGCTGCCAGACACATGATGAAAGTGCTGATCCAGAATGAACTGAGGCTGTCAATTTAAATAAAGAAAATGATGACTTAATTTTGTACTGACAGGTCTTAYGCCAGATGAGGTACCACTGCCTCTACAACTCGCATTTTCTGCCAGGTCAGATATGGTGTCTCCTCCCAAAGCTGCCATAAACCCAACATATAAGCATAAAGCTGGCCCAAACATCATCTTGGACTTTGGTTAATTTGACAGAAATATGATTGTGTGCTCGCACTTGATCCAGGGGGAGCCTATAGTGCTGGAGAGTCCCAGCAGCGCAAACAACCTGCTGTTAGGTGTCGAGGCACTGCTGTGGGTATGCTGTSCTGTGATGCCTCTCTTCATCAGAGACTGGGCTCCTCTGCTGACAGGAGTCCAGAACACCTGCCACCTAAGCAAACAGCTGAAACATTCTCAAAATCAACAAATGTCAATAAATGCTCTGATGCACTTCTTTCTTGTGTATGTACTAAACAGAAAAATAAGCTTTCAGCTTCATATGAAARCCTCATCATGAAAATAAGGGGCACCCAGTCATGGCATCATGGCTGGACAAACTAGTAGCATTCGTTGTTTGTTTTCCTTTYCAGAAGAAATCTACAAAACCTTTTTACCTCACAGTCTTTTGCACTTTAAAGGCCCAAAAGAATGCAAAAAATGTCAGTTGGTGATACAATTAGAAGTCTAGCACCAAACCTGAAAGTGAGTGAGAAGTTTAGCACTTGTACTGTGACTTGATTAGCAAGTGTATAGATCTAATGGCTGCTTCAGAGMAGCTTTATTCAGAGTCTCTTTTGCAGGAGTTAACATCTGTCATCATCATCCCAAGCTGTAGTGAAACACAATCATCTACTGCTGAAATCTGTGTGCCAGATCAGCAGTTTCCTTCTGTCCTAGGCAGATATTTACACTTCAGTGTAAATTTAAGCAAATTGCTCCTAAACCACAAGGAAAGAAAAGAAAGTAAAAAAGAGAATAGAAAGGGCATTAAGAAAGTTTTAGGAGCAATTTGCCAAACAGAACATAATTATTATTTTTAAAACTTTGTTAATCCTTTTATTGCTCAAACAATTTTGGAACTGGATAATTACCAGCCTTCTTGGCCTTGACACCATCTTAGATTTTCAAGTCCACATGCATTGCCCACTTCGTGGGATGGAGTCAGAGAACTGCTCTTTGGTCAGAGGCACCATCCTTCTCACCAGACCTTCATCTGAAGTGTAGTCTGGTCAAGCAAGACACTGGACAAAAGAAAGGCAGTGCTAAGTCTCAAAATCAGCTGAGGATGAATCTTATGCTGATGAAGTTGAGCCCAGTGGGCATTTTAAGTCTATGCTAGAGTGGAGTCTATTTTGTGTTTTCTTCCCCATCCTAGTCTGTAGCTCTGAAGATGAGAGCTGAAGGAGAGAGGTGCTCCAGGAGCTGCTGAAAGGCAGGTGGTAGTGGCAGCTCTTTGGGGAATGAGTTGTTGCCAGAATGATGAGGCAGGCTGAGCATGGCACCAGTGGGTTCTGGTGGTTCCAGCCCTCCCAGCCTTTGCCAGGCTCTTTACAGTCCTCTTTSTGCTTTAACCAAGCACTGCTCATGTGGCACTGCTGCCGTTTGGATGCTGCACTTGAAATGCAGGCCACCAGCATCCAAAGGCCACCACAGGCCCATTTCTCATGAGCTACAAGATGAGTATGTATCCCAATCCAGAGTCCTTCCAGACTACCAAGTACAAAATCTCCAATGAGGCAGAGGGTTTGAAAGAGCCATACAGCAAAATAAGGCATCTGAGACTGCTACGTCTGACTAGGAAGACAACAGCATACGAGGGAAGGACTATCTTCCAGCTCCTATTGTGAAGCAATAGCAGTGGCTTTCATTTCCCAGCCCCTTTTGAGCCCTCCTCGACCCCAGTGAGGCTGAAGGATTCACTCCAGCTATGCTCAGTGGAAGAGAGTAGCTCAGCTTTTAGCAACAGCCCCCCTCTGCCCTCCACACCAGAGCAAAACCTTTGCTGTAGTACCTATTGCTCCCTGATCACAAACTCAGTTCTCCTCACTGAACATCTTCCCAAGGAAGCTGCCGTGACACGAGCAGCTGAAATGACTACATGAAGTGAAGAACATCATTAATCTGGAAAACAAGGAGTCCTAGGYCTGAAACTTGCCTGTGAGGAATGCAAACACAGTGATGCCAATACAGAATCTAGGCAGTTCTCCTACATTTTATATTTGCATTAAGGAGACCTGGAATTCCACCATTAGCTGCTACTCTTTATGGACAACTATTGTGATACTTTAGCTAGAAATTAGTAGCATCAACAGGAAAAGGTTCAGCCAAGTCTTGTCTTTTGGTATTTAAGTTTGCAGCCATCCAATATGCCTGGTTATATTGCAATGCATGTCAGCAGAATAACAGTTGAAACAAGCAGAAGTCCAGCCTCCRTCAATTCTATTAATTCCATATCTTTCCATGATAATAAAGCCTGGAGACTATTGTTAGCTAATACTGATTTTTTTTTTTTCCGAGCATTCTAGTGTTTTTCTTGTCTCAGCATTTGCACCCTCTCAGGGGTTGAGGGCATCAAATTCACCCATGACACAATTCCTGGCAAGTCACTAGAGCTACTCCTTGGATTCATTTATCCTCCTCATGCTGTTCTCAAGATTGGATGATTGGCATGACAGATAGAAAATAAGGAGGATTTCAGACTTTGCTATTATTCTTGATGGTGCTGCAGGCTGTGGAAGTGACTGTGCCTGTCTTGGCTGGGGAGAATGCTGCTGCCCTGTCACATCTGTATTAGTGACRGATCAGGGACATGGTTAGGGCTTTGCACAGTGATGGAATTCCATGTTTATTCTGGCTTTCAAAGCACAAACTGAAAGAGTATCAGCAGTCTGCTGAYTGATTACAGAATAAAGCTACAAATCAGGAAGAAAAAGGCCACAGATCAAACTGCCCAGGCAGAGTTAATCAGCCAATCTTGAACCCAAACTGGATTTTTAGAAACTCCAAACAAAGAATCTTAGTTTCAGCAGACTTGAGCTACTTGGTGTGCTCAAAAGCTCTGTGAAATTGCTCTGGATGCCTACTCTTCAGCCCAAGGTGGGTATGTCAGGTTAGCAAGTTGCTCTGAGGAAATATGCATTACTGCAAACCTTCACTCCTACATTTACATGCAATATTTTCTCTCCATTCCTAGTGTCTCAAAAGTGGCTCTAAAAGCTAAAAGGTTCTAACTCACCCAGTGTGTTATTATGTTTAAGACTCTACCAAATTCTTGTACAGATTGCAAGATGGAATGATAAGGATACACCGACTCTCTAGACAAGAACTATGCTTCGACAGGAATCCAGAAATTAAACTTGCACCCTGTAAGACAAGATGTATCAACAAAAGTTTTGCTATTTAACAATGAAGCTTTCCTTCAAGATTTTGTCCCGACCACTGCAACACCAAAACACAAATAAAATCTTAACATCTTCTAAGATTATTATCTCATTCACTACAAAAAGCCAAAAGGTTCAATTATGAAAAGAGTTTAACCGCTGTCTGGATATACAGAATTTCGCAGAAAATGTCAGTAGTATGGCTTTTTATGCATTTTCCCCTATTTTCTACTTAACGTTCCTGAAGAATACAATGAAGAGAACCAGAAGTTCATTTTCGTGTTTTTCATTAGAAGGGTTATCTGCCTTGACACACAGAAGAGCAAGAGCAGACAGTTGCAATCAGGATGAAAATTTGTTATATCTTAAAAATGCAATGCAGAAAGCCACTTTTTAACTTATTCAATGTCAAGATAGTGGAAGAAGTTAATGTCTAGGGCATACCCAAAGTTTYCTATGCTGAGATCATTTGAGTTAAACAAATTCCTTATCTCAGATGCAATTTATGGCTAAATGAAGGGCTACATGAAGATAAATTATTCCCCAAAAAAAAATTTTCCTGATTCTATACTACATGTGCTCACTGTGTTGCTCAACATCCTTTTGTGCATAACCAAATCAGTATCCCCAGTGTTTCTATTCCACTGTGCATTATCGGTGCTTATCAACCACACTGTGACCTCTGACTGCTGAGGATGTCACCTTGGCATAGAACTCTCTATACCTCATAAGGATTGAGGTTTGTGAAGTTATTACTTGTAATGGAAATTTGCTGTACATCTTCTTAACATTAGATGTATATACAGATATTTGGGAAGAGGCAGTTCATGGAATGTGTGGATGTCCATAATTATGTCCACAATTAGAAGCAAAGCAGAAAGGGTTTTGGACTACTTTGTGTCTTGTCACTGACTCAGACTGTATTTTCCAAAGAAACTAGGTCAGAAAGCTGAAGAGGCACTAAGAATGAGACACCAGTGATTAAAATTATACTGTGGCCATTCCCCTTTTTTGTTTTAATCACATCTGCTGAAGCTAATCAGTCTTGGAATGGTTCTGT